CATGAAAATAGCAGTTAATAGGATTATAAAATTCGTATTATATAAAAATTTTTCATTCATTATTTATAGTTCGGTTGATATTTACTTTTAAAAATAAACAATAAATATTTTAATAAATAAAATTTTAAAAAAATAAAAATATTTGAATATTTTAACTAAAACTTTCTAATTTTTCGAAAATATTTAAAATTATTGATTTTTCATATTTCATATAAAAATTATATATTATTTATAGTTATTTTTCTTATAAAATGGTTATTTTCGAGAAATAGAAATCAAATATCATAATTTATTACGAAGATCGTTACAATGATAACTAAAACTAATGTTTTTATTTTTCAACTTCAACAATAATTCAACAATTAATTAATTAAATAAGATTAATAATTCTTTAATAGTGCTTGCAATAATTTCGAAAAAATAATTTCAAAAAAAAATAATTGTGAGTTGGAAATGATTATATGATATGATATTTTCATATCATTTTTGTTTTAGCTGCTTCATTCCTAGAAAGCTAAGAAATAAAAATAACTATAAATAATCAGTGATAGGTAAAAAGAAATACTTTATGTTATTTTCGTAAAAATAAATAAATAAAGATTAATAGTTATTATTTCTTCGATTAGACTTCGATTCCGGCTTTCAGTATGGTTTTGACAGGGATTCACTTGGTGATAGAAACAAGGATGGTTTGCTAATATCATCTGGATTAGCAGGAGTTTTATTTTTCTAGAATCATATGGGCTAATGGCACTGAATGCAAACTGAAATAGTCATATCATTCGGCCATTTATGCCTCAGGTGTTAACAAAATGTTATCACTATCTAATTAAACCAGAAATGATGAGTACTATATGAAGAAAAAGAAATTGAAAATAACTGCAATAAATTGAATTGACATAAAGTGTTTAAAATTTTTATAAGAAAATTTCTTCAATCTTTTGCTAAAATAAAGTTTCACTTAATTTTTTTGCAGACATTTTTTAAAAATCTTTTTTATTTTTGAAATAATTTCTTACAAATTTTTTTTTATATTTCTTTTTATTATTTCCTTAATTTTTTTTTTTTGGAAATGCAACGTTTGTATTGTTTTTTGAAAGTTTTAATATGATAAGATTATTAATCATTTACCGATTTGAAAGCGCGAATTGTTTTCAATTTTTTTGAAAGAATTTCTTTGTAAAAATTTTTTGTCTAACGATCATTTTTGTCAAGAAATTTGCAAAAATCGAAAAATATTGGTCAAAACACATTAATTATTTTGTTTTATTTAAATTTTAAATTTTATTATTGTTATATTTCTATATTTTATAATCTTTATATTTTATAACAAATTGATCAGTCAATCAATTATTAACATGTTATTATATAAAACGATAATATTAGATTGGAAGCCATTTAATTTCATAATAATAATATTTTCTAACAGGTTTTGTCTAAATAAAGTTAAAATTACATATATAAATTATAGTAATTACAGGAAGTCGAGTGATATCTTATTTTGATTATCGTTAAGCCATAGGTCCTTCGGTTTTTTGGCAGAAGCAAGTTTATCCTTGAAAGTGAAATTCGAATGATGCCAAGTTTGATTCGAATCGAATGATTCGAATGATTCGAATTTACCTATCTATTTCTATTCCCTAAATAATTCTTTAGATCTTATTAATAGCAATAGAGCAACTCAAGACAAAGATAAAAAACGAATACAACAAGAAAGAACTATGTATAGTTGTTTTTATTTCCTTTAGATATAATTATATAATAAAAAATAATCAATTATAAAATATAAAATAAAATTTATTTAAAATTTATAAAATTTATAAATTTATATTTAAAATAAAACGCTAAAAAAGACAGTATTTTATGTGGGCATGTGAATCAGTACGATCATGAAACGAACGATTCACGAAATAAGAACATATTGAAAAAAATTTATAAAATTAAAAATTAATTGGCCAATGATCGGTGAATTTTAAGTATATATTAGATTACAAATAACATAGAATATAATAAATACAAATTATTGTATTCATTTAGAATATTTTTTCAAAAAAAAAAAAAATTATCAATTATCAACAAAAAATTAAAATTTATCAAATTTTTGAGTTGCTCATTATATTATATCTATGGAAAATTAAATTTGCAAAATTTTTTCTTAATGATATAATTAATTAATCATTATTTCTGAACTAATTTCCGTGAATTTTTCGCTTCATTATTGTTCAGCCAACTAGAATAGGTGAAATAGTTTAATGCTTCATTTAATTTTACTCTTATAATTGAAAAATGACCAATAAATTTAAAAACTGGATTATATTTTATATTTATTATGCTAAAAATTATTGGAGTTATCGGAAGATTTTCAATTTTAATTATTGCATTATTCAACAAATAAAAATAGATAAACGCATTGTATTTACTTACTTATTTACTTTATTTATTTTAAAAAAATTATAAAAAAAGAGAAAATAACAAAAAACGAATTCATTTTGGGGATCGTTTAAATAATTTAAGAAAATTATCAAACTATAAACTATAAAATTTAAAAAATTAAATAAGTTTCTTTAAATAGTTAGGTCGAATTTTTTTACTGCGAATAAATCCTTGAGAATTAGGTGTTATAATTATTTTTCATCAAAAAAGAATAGAAAAGAGGCTAATAAAAGATTAGAAATTTTCGGATTTTGCAGAAAAATACAATAAAAACGTTACAACTAATGGTTATAAATGGAATATTTATTGTTCGTACCAAATAGAAGAATATTTGCTTGCACCTTTATTCACCAAATATTCTCTAACGAAAAGATCGTCGCAGTTAGTCAATTGTCGAAAGGCGGTTTTAGACGAATTATGAAAGGCAATAATTTTTTTTTTAAATGAAAACATGGAAAAAATTATACTTTAATTAGTTAATTTTCTAAATCGGTTATTTTTAAGTTTTGTACTTTCTTTTTTTTTTCTTTCTAATAATTTGTAAAAAAAAAAACGCGCAAAAATTTGCAGTTCGTTTTATTTTTTTTATTAAAGAAAATTGATAATTGTTTCACATAAACAACGATAAAATTTAATCTATTACATCAAAAATCCGGTTTTTAACTAATGAACAGTGATTGGTGTCATGAAAATGGAAATGCTTTGATCATTGACGATTGCCTGTAAATAACTGATAGGTTTATAATTCGATTTTAACAATGGGCTAATAGGTTATTTTATTTATTTCATTTAGCTTATTCCTAAAATTATTAAACCAAGAGCAAATTTCCAAAAATTTATATCCATTAGAGCAATCATCATTTTGTTCGCCTCTTATTTCTTCTTCGAAAATGACTTTTTCTGATTTCGATGGCTCTACTGGCTAAGGAAATCCTTTCATCCACAATTAACATCCACAATTAACGGATTATCCGTAGCGTTTGAATGCCTTATTTCCGTTGAATAACATTAAACTCTGATACTTGACTTTAAACAAATGCAAGGTGTCATTCTATTGTTCTTCGTCCTTACTTTGTAGATTGTCTCATATCGTCTCCTAAAATTTAAATTTCCATTTCCCATATTTTATAGTTGTATTTTCTGCTTATTTTCCATAAAAAAGGGCAATATTTCGATGATAATATTTGTATCATAAAACTATATGTCATAATAAATAAATGTAATCGGAATGAAGCACTAAATAATCTGCTTTGACCCAAATCAGTGAAATTACTTATTGGAACATTTTGCCGTCAAAGGCGTTTTTTTTTTTTTGCAATTTTCTAAACTTTTTTTTCGCGAGGGGTAGGAGGAGTGGTTGCAATACGAAATCATTTGTTCATTAGTTACTTCTCTCATAAAATCTACCATTTGCAATAAAAAAGAGCATTATTTGAACATTTAGATTGCCTAAATTTTATTAGGCTCGCTGTACAAGTTATAAGTACAATATTAAATTTTTGCAGAGGAATCAGTTGGGAATAGAAAATGAGGAATGAGGTCCTAGCAGCAATCCGATTTTATTTGCTGAATTTTTGTACTTGAAAGGGTAACCTGAGACAATTTGAACAATCACTTGGCCATGAATACTAATGAATCGGATTCTTTAATTTCCCATATTTATATTTTTTATATACATATATACCTATTTTTATAAATTATTTATTCGAAGGACATTTTTAGTAATTCTTAAAGAATCAAAAAAGTTTATTTAAATCTTAAAAGTTAAAATCCTTACATATTGTAAGAAAGTGCAAGGAGAATATTTTTTAATATCAAATATTCGTATTCCGTTTTTGCATTTTGTATTTGTATTTATCCTTGTAAAATTAGGAATGTAAAATGAAAGTCTTTGGTTTGGTGAAAATTTTTATTGAAATTGAAATTTGTTGGTTTTCGATATCTTCGTTTGCCTATTCATTGTTAGTTCATTGCTTGCTATGCCACTGAGTAATGTTTGGAATTATTTTACTCGAAATGAAAAAAACTAGTTAGTATATTATATAGAGAAGCTAAAATAATTGTTTAATAGTTAATAATAGTAGAATTATTTTAAAATTTCGAGTAGCTAAATTTGCAAACATTTTCGAAATAACATTCAATATATATAAATTAGTTTTTAACTTCGTTTTTTTTTTTTTTTAAATTCGGTTATTCCATTTTAAAAAAGTTATATTTATTACTTTTAATATTTCTTTACTTTTATATATGACCCTTGACCTATTGTTTAATCTACTGCAGAAGGAGGAGCAATCTATAATATAATATAAGAGATCATCCTTCAATTTTCACGTATAAAGGTCGAGAAAATCGGTATATATAGATGTCGTCGTATAAATCTGTTATTCATTTATAAATGGTCATCGCTATAATTTCTCTTGCTTTGTCTTACTTTAGACCGCTTTTAATTACTTCGAAATTTATATTTTATTATCGCTTTCGTTTGGATTTTGTTTTAAAATCAAAAAATTTAATTTTATTATTTTCGAAAAATTTTATTTGATTATGATTTTATCATAAAATTTTAGGAAGGAATGGTAGCCAGCTCAACGGAAGATTTCATACGTCTTGTGGCAGAAATAGGCCCAAAAAATTCTACTGAATTTTGCATCAATTATTTGAATAATTCACTGAATGCGGAGGAATCGGTTATTCGAAATCCACCGCCTCAGTGGCAAGGTTAATCGTTTTAATAAAACATTTAATAATAATTTTATAGTTTTTAAATTTACATCTTTTTACCGATATTAGCGATTAGGATTAGAAATAAGGTATGCAGAAATAACTCTTTCAGAAAAGGGCCTCGTTTCATCAGTATAGCGAGCCAGAAATAGTTAGTGAAACAAGGATTATGGACTTAGAATAATGAAACCAGTGGATGATTCGGTGATACTAATTTTTCTTGCGTTTTTAGTCTGGACTCTTGGACTTTTGATGGTATCAATTATAAGTTTCTCAGCAGCTTTGGGAATTTTATTGATGCCATTCTTAAAACCATCAGTATACGATCGTGTCTTAACGTATTTTGTGGGCTTGGGTATTGGAACGCTTTCTGCCAGTGCAATATTCGGTCTTATTCCAGAGGTATAAAAATTTTTTCTAATCATTTCATTATTAATATTCGTTAGAAATGATAGTGTAAAAAAATTATTTTAGGCCTACGACCTTCATTTATATATACCAAGCTACCTGGATAAAGCAGTTGTTGTTATTGGAGGGATTTATTTATTCTATGTGGTTGATAAAATTATAAACATCAGCGTTCGTTGGAAAGAGGCAAGTTCTCTAAATTATTATAGGCAATAGGCAATTGACAAAATATAAAGCTATTTATGGTCTATGATTATGCCATAATGCTATTACTAGTCGTGGTTAAACAGCATTTTATTTTAATATGAGAATAGGAAGGTACAAGAATTGACCCAAAGCTGTATATACAGGAAGAATTTATTATCGTAGAGCAGATCAAGATTCCAGCGAGGTCATATTCTTTCTATTCTTTTCGTCAATTCTGAAATTATTTCTCCATTTTCTTTTCTATTTACTATTTTTTATTCCACGCATTTGACCTTTAGCATAAAAATATTTCGTGACCTTCAAGAAGAAATTTCTTTATTTTCACAACTTATGCCGGGTCATGCGAATAAATTGAAAATATGGCTAAAATGGAAATTTCCTGAGACGTTTTTTTTTATTTTAAGAATCCTCACCATTGCTGGTTAAACTCGCTCCGCTTCGGGCAACATGCCAGGGAGTCCCTCGGCGATAGAAATACAGGTGAATCGTCAGGATCACCTGGATTTTTGTACAGGGTTTTCTTCTGCGGAGAATCGAACCTCAGCATCGGTGCTCCAAACTGAGCAACAACTCAGTGAGCAATTGTATCCCCCAATTGAAGAATTATAACACTTTAATATTTTGGGCTAGTCTGTAATTTTCGGTTAAAGTTAATCTCAAAGATATTTGATCTTCAAATCAGGATATCATGCTGAAGTAAAAAGTGGAATTTGTTGCAATTTTAGGGGTCGGCGGTATCACCCGATTTAGCAAAGGACGAGAAAACGAATGCAACGGCCGTTACTGAACCGGTTACTAATTTTCATAAAAAAAGTTTTGCTAATTTTACTACGCAAACTTTTGAAGTATTTGTATTGGTTAAGAATCCGAATTTACTGCAGTAAATTATGCTTTTCATGAAGGATTTTGTAGTCACCAGAAAATGAAAGAATTCGACGAAATTCGATTGTATCGTGCAAAGCGGTTCGCCATGTTGCATCTGTGGCTTGGCTCGTAATATTCGGTGACGGTTTACACAATTTCATTGATGGTCTTTCAATTGGTGCTGCATTCAATGAAAACATCCTAAGTGGCCTGAGTGTTTCAATTGCTATATTATGCGAAGAACTACCTCATGAACTTGGTAATTCGTTTGAATGCTATTTTGACGTAAAAGCACTGCATTAGATTTGGCATCTAAAGTCTCAAAAGCAATAAAATACCATGAGCGCGGTGTACGCGGTGCTACTTCACTTCAATTTCAGGAGATTGCGCTATTCTCGTCAGTTCTGGCTTATCGCTTAGAGAAGCTCTCATATATAATTTGCTCTCAGCGAGTACTTGTTACTTGGGATTTTTTATCGGGGTTGTCGTTGGGCAGATAAGTCATTTGTTTGGGCAAATGATTTTTGCTTTGGCTGGAGGAATGTTTTTATACATATCGCTTTGTGGAATGGTGAGTTTTGAGGAAAAGATATAGACATCTTTTGTTGAATGAGCGACATATCTTCTATGGCTAATTATCATTAGGATTAGGTCCTCCCATCATGTAGCCTTTTCCATTAAAAGTACAAAATATTTGTTTCGATGGCAGGTTATTTTCTGATAAGGAGAAAAGTTTAGGTCTTGCTGCTTGCCTGAGCAATCTGAGACCTGATTCCCCATTGAATTTTTTCCCCTTCGAATCTTTCTTTTTTCAGCTATCAAAAATCAATCAAGAAATTGAGGATCTGCTTAAAATTGACATCAAAAAAACTATGAGCACAATGCTTCTGCAGTCTGCTGGTATTGCAAGTGGCTTGCTGATTATATTCCTATTTTCGAAATACGGGTCGCTCATTGAAATAGCTTAACGCAATTTATTTGCTGTTCTACCTTGAGCTTAAAGTACCTCTAACGGAACGCGCTCTCCATTTTCAACTATCCCTTTTCGTCTTATCATGCATGCAATCGTCCAGGATCTTTTACAACATCATTTTTTACTGCTGGCGTCATCCTTGTCACCTTCAAATTTTCGCTTTTCGTATGTGCCGTTATTTTTACGCTTTATTTTCGTCTATGATTTCCAATAATTCATTTCATTTGTCTTATACAAGAAAGGCATTAATGTTCATCATAATTTGCAATATCTTGCAAATGTACATTTAGCAGTCCTTAATTGTTTGTTTGAAAAGTAAGCAATTGGTTTGAAGTTTGAATTTTCTCCAACCATTTCCACCTAACTCTTTTTTTTTAGATTTAATTAGGTATATATTTTATTAAAATCTATGAATGCTACGTATGTAAAAAGATTTTTTCATCTGAGATTCTTTAGGGTGAAAACTTTCATTGAATCGTATATTTTCATGAAATAATAAGAGGGATTGAGATGACTTTTGGTATTTTTTATTTCCTATAATCTCCTTCCGACAAACATAAAATGAAGTCGCGAAGTTCTGAACTTATTCTATGGATTTTTTATCTACCTAACTTTTTTTTCTTAGGGTTTCTCCTGGATATTTAATGGATTCGCTTTCAGATTACTTCTTTTCGCTCTTTTTTAGAAGGGCCATAAATCATTTAATTGATGAAAAGCACCACTTATATTTTTGCTAAAATTTCCAAAGATTTATTAGGTATGACCCCTTCCATCTTCCAGGAATTGCTGCTAATTTAGTTGATATAAATGTATCTCTGTGAGGTTTCATAACATATCAATGAAGGAATTTTTGATCATTATAATCTCATGTAGCGATTTTTGTTATATGTCGTGATTTTTCAAATAAAAATTGTCATTTTTCTAGCTAGCACAGTATATAATTAAATGTCGAAAAAGAAATTAACAGTGCTGTCGTTGTTATTCAACGATTTCTACGTAAGATTGCGATAACATTAAACGTAAGCAACAATATTGGCGCAAGTTCAGCGTTTTCTAGTGATGCTTCATTTTCCAGCGATTTGATGGTGAATGAGTCGATCGGAGTATTCAGTATTAAGTTTTTGACGTTCATCATTTAGGCTATTCTGGCCGATCGTTAATATTTTTAAAAATATTAGTGTGAAACGGTAGTTTGTAGTTATAAATACATGTCATTGGTCGCCATTCGATCTTTCATCCAAAAAGAACGTTGATGTTGATATATATAAATTTATGCCAGCACAAATTAATTTAAACCACCTCAGATCTTATCTCGTGGTTGGTACCACGATTTATCTGCTTGTAATATATATATGCTCAATTACAATTGATTTACCTCATTAAGGTCGAGTTTCCATGTAAATTTATTTTTGCATCATTCTAAGAGAGAATATAAAGCTGGTGGATAGCGGCAATATAGTGATTATTAATACTTTGTTATAATTAGTATATTAGATGCTTTTTTAATGAGTGCTTGATGATCCTAAGCCGTCCCCAAAGCGGTGAATATTAGCTTTTTCTTTCGCACCTTCGTATTTTTTCTAAAAAAGATTTCTTGATAAGAAGGAATGAAATTCCGGTAGAACAGATATAGCGATTGGTGATGAATGTAAAATCTTGGTGAGAATAGATATAACAATAAAAAGAAACGCAAGAATTCAATTCTCTATTTCAATGCACCAATATTAAAGGCAAATATTTTTATAGACGGTTCACCACTTTGCTACAACAAAAACCGTTGTTTGAAGGCAAAAAGTAGTTAAGATATTTTGTTAAGATATTGTGTCTGTTAAGATAAGATATTAATGTGTCTTGGTCCATGATAAGAGAGACATTCATGAGTTTCAAGAAGCTGTATCTAATGATAAGGCAGGATGCTAATATATCGCTAAAAAGATAGAATTGGAGCCACGTTAAGAAGTAAGTAAAAAACCAAAATTTGACAAAATTCTACAAATTTTACAAGCAATATACAACAAAATCTACAAATTTATACGCAATATGTTGATTGATCAGAGCGCAGAACGAGAAGCTAATGTTCGCAACCTGAAGTACGGAAGATATTTCCAAAAAGGCATATCTTCCGTTTGGGCAGCAGATGCTTCAATGTAAAGTTAATTGCCATGAGAATGCCGTAGTGGAGTCAAAGAATGAATTCATTTGGTGTATAGTGGCACCGCATTTTTTTTTGAACAATTGACAATTGAACAATTCACTTTCAGTTACGAAATGATAAAATAATCCGAATTGATTTTTGATAATGTCATCCCTCTTGAATAGAATATGCAGTGGCCAAACTTAAATATGCAAATTTAAATGTTTAAATACGTATGTGGTTCATTTTATCCGATTACAGCGCCTATGTAAGAATATTTTTTGCAATTACAAGTTGATCGGCATTTTGCATCCCAACATGTACGACCGCATTTCTGAAAATTACGAAGACTCAGAAATAAAAAAATCCAGAAAAATTACATTTTCTTATAATCTTAAACAATTACCTACAAACAAGTAATCGGTCATGCGGATAAAATATCATTGTTGGAAATATTGAAGAAATTCCACAAATTGTATAAAATTAAAATTTCAAATTATATCTACAAAGTAGTTTTTATTTTAGCCTTCCACCTTAAACCACTTTTTTTTTAAAATCTTTTTCAGAAGAATAACCATAAATTTTCACCGTTCCTCAGCAAAACTAAGAAAGCTGTCCGTTGTAATGAAATAAAATTCGACACCACAACAACAATTTTCATTACAACAATTTTCATATGTTAAAAAGTATCCAACAAGAATTTAACTATGAACCTCAACTGTAAACCTCAAAAACAATTATTCATGTGACACATCTCGCAGCATGAAAATTCGGTATTGCTGACATTATAACAACTTATGCAGTGGTACACCGGGTTCTCCTAAAACATGTTTTTTCTCCAAGCATATGCATTTATGCCTGAAAATTGATATTGCCAATAAATTTATTGCTCCTTTCGACTCATCGCATTTCTCTTATCACTTCCTTACGGATTTAATCACCTACTACGATTAATTTTTCTTTGCACAGAGTGGAAATTCAAAAAAAAAAATTTCCAGAATTTATTATCAATACATTTATTACAATGCATATAGTTTTTCGAGAACTGATTGGCTAATTTTCCAAGTTTTATATTCGATTCGAATTATAAATTCAGTATAAATTAGTTGAATGCTAGGAAATTATTTATTTGCTGGTTCCGTGATTGGGAATGAATATCGCTATCATTCTTTTGGTTTGTTTCTCTTTAAATTTTTACAAAGTTGATTATTTTATTTTATTTCGAATCATCTAATATTTTTTGCTCGATTGAGAGCGTCGATGCTGAGGTTCGATTCCCCGCAGGAGTAAACCTGTACAAAAATCCGGGTGATGCTGGTGACTCACTTATATTTCTATCGCCAAGAGACTTCCTGGCATATTGCCCAATGCGACTAGCCAGTGAAGCGAGTTTAACCACTAATAGTGATCTCTCACTCTCTCATTATTAGCCTCACCCATATAAAAAATAATATCAAAAAATTAATATCAAATTTAACTCTACTTTCTTCAATGGTAAATACTTAACAGTAATAATTTGTGTTTACTGGCTAGCAGGATGAAATATCTTGAAAGTATTTCGAACATAGAAGTGTATGCCTAAGATTATTCACATCTTTTAGTAATAAGCTGGTATTTTCTGGAAGAGGTTTGAGCTAAACAACATCATTTAAATAAATTAAATGACCCCTGAGATCTCGCAAATTTATGGTGATTCGTCTTTACTTCGAAAATCTTCTAATTCATTTATTTTTTTATTTCTTATAATTATTGTAGAAATTTAATTTAATTGATTTATCGTATGACCTAAACTTTCAGTTATTTTTCACTCAAATTGTTCATGCAATCGGTAAAATTTCAATTCATGACGCTAAATGTAGGCTAACAGGACATGAGTGTGGTCCTAATATGGTATTCACCACTGTCGATTATTCTCACCAAGTCCTTAAAGGCTCTAATTCTTCCGAACCAAATGTCATACAAGTTTGCATCCAGCAATGCCAATGTGCTAATCCTGATTTCACAGAAAAAAATGGAATCTGTGTTAAAAATACAATTGCAACAGTTTCATTGACCAAAACCGTAAGTTATTTACCATTTTATGTCATTTATATCATTTATAAAATAGAGAAATTTATTTTTTAAATATTAAAATCTGTTATATTAAAAATATTTTGACTATTAGCTTCAAGTTGATTTAATATTAAAATTTAGAAATATAAATTTGAGGTCGATAAGATTTCTACTCATTTTCTCTTTAGCTTAGCACTTTTTGATAAAATCTAATAGGTCGCCAAGGAGATGAAATTATATAAAATGGCTATTGACCTGCTTTATTTTCTAAGGAAAAGTAAAAGAGAAATAATAATTATCGTTTATAACTCGGGTTGGATTCCAGAAAAATATTCGAAGAAATTATTAACTCATAAATTAATGTTTTATCGCCACCGAAAGAGAGCAAAAATAGCTAACGAATTTTTGCTTAAAAAGTTAACTAAAGATATAAAAAGAAAATTGTCTTCTGCAAATCTGAGGATATTTTCAAATTTATATAAGGGTAAAATTACCACAATAACACAAAAATGATCGCTATACGAAGGACTTCAAACCTCAAATTCATAAATTATGCTATAAATTTTCATGAAACTTAATGCATGAAATTTTCATGAAACTTAACTTAATTAAAAATGCAATCTCATGCCTATAAATTTATTTATTACAGATTAATGTTTTCAGCCAATTTCTTATCAAAAATCCTATAAGAAGCAGGAACATGGCGAAATTGTTGACTTCTTATGCAGACTGCCTGGACATAAATGTGGTCCTGACATGAAATATGTCACTGTACAATTTGATAGAAATGAACCACGTTTTTCTTTTCTAAAAGTACTACCCAAGAGAGTTTGTATCATCCGATGTGAGCATATCAATCCAAAAAGTATGAAAGAAAGTGAAGATACTACGACAGTTTCTGCGAAGAAAGTGGTAAAATTTCGGCCATTTTAATCCGAAAAGTTGATCCTTTAAAATCTTTTAGACTAGCAGTTTAGCGTTGATAATTGACAATTACAGTTTCACTTTGTGTCTCTCCTAGTAGTGCCAGATATTTTCGGATAAATTTGCCGCACTGATTTTCGTAATTAGGCTACTTGATGACTAAAATAGCAGTAGCTCTTCTAGAGATTCCGCGATTGGAATTTATATTGCTACCATTCTTTTGGTTTAAAATTTTTACAATTTAAAATTTTAAATTTATCTTTTTTAAAAAATTATTTTTTAACTGATTATTGATTTATTAAATGCATGACCTAATTTTCAGTTATCTTCCATTCAAAGTGTAATTGGTAAAACAATTCATGACGCTAAATGTAGGCTAACAGGACGTGAGTGTGGTCCTAATATGGTTTTCGCTACTGTCGACCATTTTCACCAAGTCCTTAAAGGCTCTAGTTCCTCCGAACCAAATGTCATACAAATTTGCATCCAGCGATGCCAATGTGCTAATTCTGATTTCACAGAAAAAGATGGAAGTTGTCTTAAAAATATAACAAATACAACAGTTTCACCGACCAAAGCCGTAAGATATTTCCCATCTTATGTCATTTATAAAATAAAGAAAATTATTTTTCATAAATATTAGAATTTGTTATATTAAAAATATTTTGACTATTAGCTTCAAGTTTTAATATTAAAATTATTTAAGATTTAATATTAAAATTTAGAAATATAAATTTGAGGTCAATAAGATTTCTATTCATTTCCTTTTTAGGTTAGCACTTTTTGATAAAATCTAATAGGTCGTCAAGGAGATGAAATTAAATAAAATGGCTATTGATCTGTTTTATTTTCCCAGGAAAGTAAAAGAGAAATAATAATTATCGTTTATAGCTCGGGTTGGATTCTAGAAAAATGTCCGACTTCCCTAACAAGAAATTATTAACTCATAATGAATGTTAATGAATGTTTTATCGCCACCGAAAGAAAGTATTTAGTTTAACGAAATTTTGGCTATAAAGTTAACCAAAGATATAAAAAAGAAAATTGTCTTCTGTAAATCTGAGGAAATTTTCAAATTTATAAGGGTTACCTTAAGGATTTTTCAAGGATTATCAAAACATTTTTGCGGTAAAATTGCCACATAATACAAAGATGATCGCAAAACGAAGGACTTCCAACCTAAAATTTCATTCATAAATTTTGCTGTGAATTTTTATGAAGCTTAATGCATACAATGTAGTCTCATGCTTATAAATTTACTGATTAATATTTTCAGCCAATTTCTTATCAAAAATCCTATAAAAAGCAGGAACATGGCGGTGAAATTGTTGACTTCAAATGCAGATTACCTGGACATAAATGTGGCGCTAACATGAAATATATCACTGTACAATTTGATAGAAAAGAACTGCGTCACTTTTTACAACCAGTCAGGGGGAAAACTTGTATTGTTAGATGCGTTTTTATCAAAGCTCAAATAGTGTGAAACAAGATGAACAATATAATAAACAATATAATAATAATGAATACACGACAATTTCCAAGAAGAAAGTGGTAAAGTTTTGGTTATTTTAGTCATAAAAATTGATCTTTTAGACCTGCAATTTAGCGATGATAATGGTTGAACAGCCTATAATAGATATAAAATTTAGTTAATAATATTTGAGACTTTTTCTTCGGCGCGATATTTGCTTATTTTCTTTAGGGGAACATTATCGTTGCCTTTGATAATGAAGAGAGAATTGGGGGTTCCTTTGTTTTTTTGTTGGGTTTTTTATCTATAAAGAATTTTCCTATGGGGCAAATTTATTGCCAATATTTTATTGTTTATATATAATTGTTTATATTATTTATTTATATTTATTTATTTATTTATTATTATTATTTATTATTTATATTATTAAAAAGATTTTTTTTTATATTTGTTGCTTTTTTTTTTTATATTTGTTGCTTTTCCAAGTTTTTTCAAAATAATTGATTTTAATGGATGATTTATTAAGTGAAATTTTAATTTTACTTCCTTTTCTTTTTGTCATTTATATTTATTTACAAATATAATACGAACCATAATAAAAATTAAAATAGAAATTTTTAGAATATTTATAATATATTCATTAATTTAATTAAAAATAAACGATCATAAACCCGTCAAAGCATAAAAGGTTTTTTACAATCTTTTTTGTATAATTTTATATTGTTTGCGTCTTCATTCGTAGCTTTTGCATATTGTTTCGTAATTTGCAAATAAAATTTGAATATAATTTCGTAATTTTAAAATAAAATAAAAAATCACATCACATGAAACTGAGGCAAAAATCCCATCAAATTGCAATGTGTGATACTTTTTAACTGGGAAATCCTCTTTCGACAATTAGTTATCTGAGAAATATATTTCGCCAAGGCAATCCATAAAAGTACCCGCTTCAAGAAAAGCTAAGCCCTGAAGACAAATGGAGCATTGAAGGTAAATGAAAGGAGATTGCGGAGGATTTGTCGGTCTTAAATTAATTTGTTGCTTTCCATTCGGTTTTTCTTCTTTTCAGCTACCAATTTTTTCAATTCCATGTGCATTTCATTTATGATTATTTCGGGGCTCTTTCATATTAGATTATTATTTAAAAAATTTATCACTTTTATGTGTCTCTTTTAGATAAAATTTATGTTCTAAATCAAAACTTCTATAGATATCAGTCTTCAGAAATTAGGATTAGAATTAGTTGATAAAATGTTGAGTTATCCGAAGAGCCACATCGATCTACAATGGCAGAGTTTGTTCAGATAGCAAAGGCTTTATCGGGTCCAAACAGTAATACGACGTGCAAATAAAGAAAAGTAATGAAAAAAATTATTTCATTACCATTATATATTACATTTCTATTTCTTTCGAAATATATTCTAGTAATAAAAAGTAATGAAAAAAAGAATATTTTACATAAAAAAGACCAACTAAATTGATAAAAACTTGCAAAATTGGGTCCAAAATTTTTTAGTTCTTTTTTAGTTATAAAAAGATTATTTGATTAATAAAAGAATACAAAGATTTGTTGTTTTCATGGTTCTTAAAATATTTAAAATGGTGTAAATGCTAAAAAAACTTATTAAAGCTAACGATTTGACTTGTCGATAAATCGTGTAATTTTCATGTATTCGCCGCGTAAAAATAATTATGAAAAATATCGTTTTCATCTATAATTATGAAAATTATGATCATTATAAATCGCTAAAATCATTCTCAATTTATGGCAAAAAATTCATCGAATTCCTCTAATTTGTGCCTAAAAATTAAAGTAATTGGAACTTTTGAATAAATCTTAATTTACAGGTTGTAACCTGTGAATTTTTTAATATTTCAATATTTTTTGATATTTTAATATTTTTTATTATTTTATAATATTTTTATAATATTGTAATTTATAATTTGTAATTTTCCTTCACCACCAAAACCTATTTCAATATCCATCCGTTTCATTTTTTGGTTTTTCAATAACTGGGCACTAAAATTTATATATTCTCCTCGATCCTTTTTAATTGGAATCCAATATATTAATAGTGTTCGACATTTAAAACGGTACAAAACGGTATAAAAATATTGGCAATATTTTTCTAAGGAATAAAGCATTTTTGAATCAAGCTTTTCTATTTATAACAAAAGATTTTTTTATTGAAACAATCAAAGGCAAACTGGATTTATCATGCCATGGGATTTCAAAGGACAAAAGAAGAAATCGTCTTTCCAAATTGCTGAAGCATGCAGCTCAGCCATTTCCCCTATTAGCTGTTTGGATAAATATTCATTAAAGTCGCGAAATCTCAAAATGGGAACCGTCTTTAACTAGAATATATTATCGCACTAGAAGGCCATAATGAATGGACAGTGGTAGTGGAAGAAATAATTATTCATCTTTAAGTTTACATAAAGGATCTCACAGGCCTTCATTCATCTTCCTTCATTTGCCTTAATAGTACCATCATAGACTGTATTCTAGGCTGAAAAAGCCTCTTGCTTAATTTGATCGAGCAATCGTCCTTCAAGCAACCATCGATGCTCCATTTGTCTTTAGCGCCCAGACTTTCTTGAAGCGCGTACGTTTATGGACTCAATCTGTTAATTCCTCAAAATGCCGCGATCATGCTCGATGTTCTTTATTTAAGGCATTTCTGCTATCTCCTTCTTAAACGCGCCTTGGTCGAATTTCAGGAAAGTTGTGCTCGTTGTTTTTATATAAAACACCATTCTTGACTAGCATAGATTTGCAGAAATAAATCTCTGGTACTCTTGGAGAAATGCATTTCTCAGACAAAGCCAATTAATTGTCGAAAGAGGATTTTCCAGTTAAAAAGCACCACACACTGCAATTTGATGGGATTTTTGCCTCAGTTTCATGTGATGTGATTTTTTATTTTATTTTAAAATTACGAAATTATATTCAAATTTTATTTGCAAATTACGAAACAATATGCAAAAGCTACGAATGAAGACGCAAACAATATAAAATTATACAAAAAAGATTGTAAAAAACCTTTTATGCTTTGACGGGTTTATGATCGTTTATTTTTAATTAAATTAATGAATATATTATAAATATTCTAAAAATTTCTATTTTAATTTTTATTATGGTTCGTATTATATTTGTAAATAAATATAAATGACAAAAAGAAAAGGAAGTAAAATTAAAATTTCACTTAATAAATCATCCATTAAAATCAATTATTTTGAAAAAACTTGGAAAAGCAACAAATATAAAAAAAAATCTTTTTAATAATATAAATAATAAATAATAATAATAAATAAATAAATAAATACAAATAAATAATATAAACAATAAAATATTGGCAATAAATTTGCCCCATAGGAAAATTCTTTATAGATAAAAAACCCAACAAAAAAACAAAGGAACCCCCAATTCTCTCTTCATTATCAAAGGCAACGATAATGTTCCCCTAAAGAAAATAAGCAAATATCGCGCCGAAGAAAAAGTCTCAAATATTATCGACCAAATTTTGAAGCCGATTTTTCCTTATTATATTTTATTCAATTTTTTATTAAAACATATTTTTATTATTGTAATTGCTTCGATTGGCACAAGATAGCGAAAAAAGACGATGGATAATTTCATTTGCCATGCGGAGTCTTAGACCGTCGGTATCCTCGGTGAAACTTAATTTCTTCGTGGATAAACTGATAAAATTGATAGCATTTTGGTTTCACTTAACTGCTTAATATAGAATGGTTCAGTTGTTTTAATATTGCAGCGATTCTATTGCGCTTTTAGTCCCAGCATTGCTAGTGATCCACTGGTACATCAAGAGAGAAATTTAGCCCCTGGCTAAGTTTGATTAGCCTAATAACAAATAAAATATATTGTTATATAACAATTGCTGCGAAGTGAATTGAATTGAATTACTAAGTCGATATCCTGTGATAGCCTTGAAAGATGAAGCTAGGGGTATATTATCTTGGAAATCGTCTGCAAAATAAATATAGTGGTGAGGAATAAGAAACGACTTGATGGTACTTATTGCTATCATTCACCAATTAACCTTATTATATTTATCTTTTATATTGTATATCTATTGTTTGATTTAACATAATCACGCAGCTCAAACTCATAGCTAGTCTTCATGAATTCATTCTTGTAATTTATGGCATTTTTTAGAGAACTGTAAATTCAATAGTTCTTTATATTCTTTTGTTGATTTATGGCCATATTATTTTATTAAATCAAATAATCTATATTTAATAATTCAAGAATTAAAATTTTATCAATTGTAATCAATTTATCTGACTTTGCCTTATATTTTTTTCTTTTTCCAGTGGTTTATTGCCAAAATATATTTTGGATTTCATAAAGAACATTTATCTGCCTTTCATTTCCTATTCATATTTCATATATCATTTCCTATTTATTCTATAAGAAATTAATTTATTCTGTCGGAATGAAGAAGGTAATTTTGCATTGCAAGATGGTACTTTGGTTAAGTTATGTGACTACTTGCAAAAAGAATTTTCAAGTTTATTCATTTTTTTTTTTTTGTAAAATTTATAAATTTTTTATGTGATTGACTAGAAGCTTAACCTTGGATAATGGTTAAAATATTTTGACATATTTATTCTCCTTTTATCAGCTCTCTCCTATTTTTAACAACTACAAATAAGTAGACGTTTCGCTGGCTATAAGGATGAGGCATTTCCAAACTCAATCCGATTGCCATTATTGGCAGTAATAGAAGCCATTCCTTTTTCGCTATCATTACTGCGTGTTTGCATCAATAATAACAATTGAAGTGGGCTTTTTCTTTAAGCGCTGATGCTGGGGTTCTATTTCCCACAGGAACCTGTCCAAAAATCCGGGTGATATCCGGGTGAGGATGCTGGCGATAAAATGCGGAGCGAGTTTAACCAGTAATGGTTCTTTAAAAAAAATTATTATTAGCATTATTCCTATTTTTTATTTTTAATTCAATTTATTATTAATTTATTTATTCATTTGAAACAACCAAGCAAACGTCATGTGCTTGCATTAATAACAACAACATGAGACATCGAATGGAAGAAATTAGTAACAGCAATGATAGCAGTTCTTAACTTTATTACTTTATTCTTGCTTCCGCCAGGAGGAAACCCATCAAATCTGGTTGATTATTGTGGATATACTGGATATACTGGATATGCTGAAATAAAGATTCCAATAATTTAGTATCAATAAATAGTATAAAAAAGCAGAATTTCGTCATGATATCCAAAATATATTGTGCTAATAAAAAATAATACTTTATAAGGCGAAGCCGAATAAATTGACTAAGAAAATTAAGTGAAATTTGATGAAATTTTAAATTATTTTTTAATTCAAAAACTCGATAAAATTTATTTTCATTTCTTAAATTTTGTGGGTTTTGTAAATTTTAAATTTTCTGCAAAGGGTCATTCGTATTTATCCTCGACGTTCAGTGACAATTTTACAAATTCTTCCTGAGAATTTGGAAATGCAAAAACATGCAAACATTGCAATTGCATCTCCATTGCAACTTTTTGGCTTATAATTACACTACTATGGTTAATTATTACGCATTTTGACCAATTTTTATTCTCTTTGAAAATTATCTCAAACTGCTGATATTTTAAAATTAAAAACCAGCCCTTTCAATTATAAAATAAAATGAAGTTTTTTTTTTTCCCACACCAATGTAAAACAATAGTCCTGTAGGGTATATAGTGGTGGTCCGAATTCCATAATGACTTGACTTCTAGCCTGATTATTTCTTAACACCGCTCAATCCTTACGTTCCAGCTGTATTTTGGTAATAATTATAGTCAGTTTGCAAAGTCATAAAATAATCGAAGGAAATTTGCGATCTGGGAGAATATGAGACCTATTAATTCGAATTTGGCCTGCCTGTCATGAATAGTCATTACTAGTCATCTTAATAAAAGATTCATATAATATTATAGGCAGGGTAGTGTCGTATCATATTGTCTCGACTTAAGCCAAAATAAATTCGATCCACATCCTTTAATAATAATAAGCCTAGAGTTAAATTTATGTGCTTGTTGTGTTGTTCGCACATTTAATGTAAACTTACTTTGATAGAGCGCTTTGGTAAGTCTGGTCTTTTTTGGTACAATATTGCATAACCTACTAAAGAATCTTTCTATTAATAGAATCAAAAGCAGCGGCAAAGTTTATAAAACATGTGTAATTTGAAATGATGCTTCAATACATTTTATTGTGAAGATGGTCACCACAGCAATCTCCTAATCTGAATCAAACTTAAGTAGGGCTGCTACTATGAATCCAGTCAGCAAAATCGAGACACAAATGATGAATTTGTTACATATATCGTATACCATGTGAATATTATGGAGGTTAATATTGCATGCTCTAATCACTCAGTCCCCAGTTTTTCGCAGGAATGAATAAATCCGTCATGAATCTCAATAAATCCTCTCGCACTGGCGCTAGAAATCCCTCTATAACTTTATTTTCAAATGATTTCTTGGCTGATGAAAATTTCATAATCTATAAATGGCCAGTGAAATGAATCAGAAATGATAATTGCTAACCATTGATTTCATAATTATTTCACCATAACTAAGTTATTCAGCAATTATAACTATTTTATTAAACTGAATTTTTAAATACATTTGCCATCTTTTTTACTATATTGGGTGCTTACGCATACACATTGTTGAATGCAATTTCTTTGCTGATAACTACCGGTAAATATTGAAGCAAAATTCCCAATGGTTTTGCGACTTATAGTGACAAATTTCATGTTTTTGCCGCAGCTTTTACCTGATAATTCGCAATTATAATCTTCAATTTTCTCATCAACAGTACGGAATTCTTTTTGAATCTGAAATTTAAAATTCGGAAAAACTGGTAATTTTTATATGAACACAACATGTTATTCATCATTTTGATGATCGTTCTCAAATTTGCTGTAGTGCTCATTGGTCTTCTAAAATTATAATTTCTGGATTTGAAGTTAAACGCAACTATCTTTCATGAGTGCCCCCACATGTTTCTATTTTCTTCCTTTTTCACAAAAATTATTTATCTGCCACCTGATATGAAAAAAAAAACGATAATGACGATAGGAAACCAGTGGTGTTCTAATCTTCAAATGATTCTCTGAAAGGGCACAACCTTAGTAGTCAATACAGGTAAATTCATCCGGAAATATCTGATAATACTGGAGGATACATAGGGAATATCTACTCTAGGCTCAACCATTGTCTGCGCTAAACTGCTAGTCTAAAAGATTTAAGATTAAATGATCCGATTTTTCCGATTAAAATAACCAAATAACCACTTTCTTCTCGGAAATTGTCGTGATATCTTTGCTGTAATGTTCATCTTGTTTCACCCTATTTGAGTTGATATACGCACATCGAACAATACAAATTTTCCCCCGAACTGGTTCTAGAAACTGACGCAGTTTATTTCTATAAAATTGTATAGTAACATATTTCATGTCAGGACCACATTTATGTCCAGGCAGTCTGCATTTGAAGTCAACAATTTCGCCATGTTCCTGCTTCTTATAGGATTTTTGATAAGAAATTGGCTGAAAACATTAATCGTTAATAAATAAATTTATTAAATTTAATAAATTTAGGCATGAGATTGCATTTTTATATGCATTAAGCTTCATGAAAATTCATAGCAAAATTTATGAATAAAATTTTAAGTTGTCTTTTGTTTAGCGATCATCTTTGTATTATGTGGTACCGTAGAAATGTTTTTGATAATCCTTGAAAAATCCTTAAGGCAACCCTTACAAATTTGAAAATTTCCTCAGATTTGCAGAAGACAATTTTTTTTTTTATATTTTTAGTGTGATTTTAGCGATAACTTTTCAACCGAAATTTCCTTAAACTATTTTTGCTTTCTTTCGGTGGCGATAAAACATTCATTAACATTCATTATGAGTTAATAATTTCTTGTTAGGGAAGTCGGACATTTTTCTAGAATCCAACCCGAGCTATAAACGATAATTATTATTTCTCTTTTACTTTCCTGGGAAAATAAAGCAGATCAATAGCCATTTTATTTAATTTCATCTCCTTGACGACCTATTAGATTTTATCAAAAAATGCTAACCTAAAAAGGAAATGAATAGAAATCTTATTGACCTCAAATTTATATTTCTAAATTTTAATATTAAATCAACTTGAAGCTAATAGTCAAAATATTTTTAATACAATAGATTCTAATATTTATGAAAAATAATTTTCTTTATTTTATAAATGACATAAGATGGGAAATATCTTACGGCTTTGGTCGGTGAAACTGTTGTATTTGTTATATTTGTTATATTTTTAACACAACTTCCATCTTTTTCTGTGAAATCAGAATTAGCACATTGGCATCGCTGGATGCAAATTTGTATGACATTTGGTTAGGAGGAACTAGAGCCTTTAAGGACTTGGTGAAAATGGTCGACAGTGGCGAACACCATATTAGGACCACACTCACGTCCTGTTAGCCTACATTTAGCGTCATGAATTGTTTTACCAATTGCATGGACTCTTTGAACCAAACATAACTGAAAAGTTAAACCATGCTTTAAATCAGTTAAATCAAATTTCTACAGCAATTATAAGAAAACAAATTATATTTTCGAAGTGAAGACGAATCACCATAAATCTGCAAGATTCTCAGTGGTTTAAATTATCATTTTAAATATCGTTGTTTAGCCCAAACTCCTTCCAGTAGATAGCAGCTTATCACTAAAAGATGTGAGTAATCTTAGGCGTATACTTTTATGTTCGAAATACTTTCAAGATACTGTTTCATCCTGCTAGCCAGTAAACACAAATCATTACTGAAACACAAATCATTACTGTTAAGTATTTGTCATTGAAGAAAATAGAGCCAAATTTGATATTAATTTTTTGACATTATTTTTTATTTGGCTGAGGCTAATAATGAGAGAATCCTCACCATTAGTGGTTAAACTCGCTCCACTGGCTCGTCGCATTGGGCAATATGCCCAAGCCAGGAAGTCTCTTGGCGATAGAAATATAAATGAGTCACCAGTATCACCCGGATTTTTGTACAGGTTTACTCCTGCGGGGAAATGAACCTCAGCATCGACGCTCTCAATCGAGCAAAAAATATTAGATGATTCGAAATAAAATAAAATAATCAACTTTGTAAAAATTTAAAGAGAAAAATGTGGTGCCACTATATACCAAATGAATTCATTTTTTGACTCTACTACGGCATTCTCATGAGGGTAAATTTTGCATGGAAGCATCTACTGCCCAAATGCATTTCTGGAAATATGTTCCGTACCTAAGGTTGAGAACATTAGCTTCTGGTTCTACGCTCTGATCAATCAACATGCCATTGCACATTGCATCCGGCAAAGACGATTCAAAAAGTAGCGCGATCATCGTTGCGCTCCTACGACTTCAAAAAAATCATTCATATCTTCAACATTCTCTTATATTGAGCAGTACCATAGAGAAATAAAGAATTAATAAATTTATCACTTTTTGAGAGCCGACATGCGATATTCATTAAGCAATCTATCGCATATTTGAATATTGTAGAGGGAAGAACGCAGACTTAACGAACAACAGTTTCCGTTTCGAAGGAGTCTGTCAGTTCCTCATTTCATTTCTTTATACAGAGCTATGTATAGGGATCAAATATTAAGTCTTAGATACAAATCGCAGAGTCGAATGATTTTCGCTGGAACATCATCACCATCCAAAGTGCCGTTCTATCAATTGAATCTAAAGCAAAGGCGATGAAACACGTAACGGTTTACAATATTTGCCTACTTTTACAAGGTCGATAATATGTTGGCAATTAGTCTATGAGCTCTAACATTATCTGCAGATGACTATGGGAATAAATTCTATGAGGAAATTCGATTGCTAACAATGTTATTATATTATTAACATGGACCCATAATTGGAGAAAAAGAAACTAACAGGAATGCGCGTGTAGATCACGATGCCAAGATGAACCCGGTAGTTGGAAAATACGACATCGAGGTCCCATGTGCCAATGAAGGACGCCTTCTTCGCTTTGCTGAGGAGCATGAATTTTTTAATAGAAACTAATACAAGCATACTAATATAAGCTTTTTACTAATATAAATTTTTCGGCATTGTAGAAGACATCTACACCTGGAACTCTCCAGATAGCTAGTAATCCAACCAGATTAATTATATTTTAGTCGACTGGAATCGCCACTGGAATTTTTTTTTCCTATGCCTGCGCAAAAACGGGCAACCTTCCGAATCTGACCATGTTATGGTTCAAGCCAAGATTCTCACAAAATTGACCACTCATAAGAAATAGCGTCCCAAGGTCTTTCCACTCAAAAAGAATGCGTACATCGGAACATCTCTATGTACAGAAATGAGGAATTAACTCCTTCGAAATAGAAACAAGTGCTCGTAAAGTGCTCTGTGTGAGAAATAGTGAGAACGATTTACTTACTTATTTAATTGCAGTTACAAATCCGAGAAATTTCGAGAAATTCCAAGAAATTTTTGTATGGTAACATTTAATTCAGATACCCAACTATCGCACTTCCTACTGGTATGCCCTAGCGTAGAAATGGCTGACTTTTGGAGATATTCCTTTAGTTGGGACCAGTATTCATTTGCCGCTCCATAAAAATCATTGATATTTATACCACTGAGATATTTCAATAATTCGGTTTAAAATGACGAAGAAAGCCTAAAGAGAAATAGTGAGCGCGATTTATTTAGTTCTTACCTACTTGCATGACAATACTTAACATTCGATATCAACGCGATATATATAATAAATTTATCATTTGGAGCATAATCGCCTTAGGCAGTGAGTGAAAAATTGCACATATAAATGGATAAATAAATTTATAAATAATGAAACAACCTTAATAATTCGACGAATTGTAACATGAAGCTTGTAGACAGAATAGCCCAGTGGGTTATTGCTCAATTCAGAGCGCTGGTGCTAAGGTTCCATTCCTCCGAAGTGGTGAAATTGTCCAAAAATCTGGGGGTGATGTTGGGGATTCATCTAATTTCTTTTTCTATCGCCAAAGGATTCTCAGCCATATTTGTCCAGTACGATAAGCTACTGGAGCGAGTCTAACCCATAATGGTGAGGGATCTTAAAAAAAAGAATTGATGGAATTCTTTGCGACTCTCCTAGAAAATCCAAGCAGTTCAACGTACGCGCGTACCACAACGTTTAGTCGTGGTACTTAGCACCAATAACATTGGACTATGCAGCTATGTTATGCAAATATAAGCCTATTTCGTATTCTTTAAACTGCATTATAGTCTACTAACAGTCGGCTGAATTAATAAATTCCATTTGTCATTTTTTATATTTTTTGTTAAAATGACGCATTTCTTGATTGATTTTTACGAGCTAAGGTTGTCGGTTATTGTTTCCATTTTCTATAATTAATAAATTTATTTGCTGGTCGTAGAAGTTCCACTGACCTTCCAGGATGGAACCACTTCGCTAATGAATAATTTTGAGATAGAGAAATTTAGCTGAATTCTCATTCCCAACATTCACATTTTGCATTCAAAAGGAGCTTTTAATGATTATTAGTTCCCTAAGGGAATAGTTTTAATGCGTGGGCAAATATTTGGTGGAGAAAAAAGACGCAACTTTGATCTTCGATCTTATAAAATTGTCATTTTTATTATTTTTATTATTATTTTTATTATTATGTATAATTTTATCCGTTAGTCACAGTATTTGACTGATAAGATAATTGGATTTAGAACTGGATAACTGGTTTGCCTACTCGTATAAGGTGTCACGTTTTTCACCGTTTAGTATAGGAGAACGCGAGTTATCAATTATGCGCTATTCCTTGAGTACCATCCGAAGTGTTTTAGTGTTCGATTCGCTGTTATCGTCAATTCACGTTATATCTCAGCTATGATAATTCTCTTTCTACTGAAAAAATTTCGTTATTAATTTCGTAAAGAACGAATTGCGGTTTGATCGATTTTTTATTCGTTATCTTTTTGGCAGAAATTATGAATATTAATGGAATTTCATTTGATGCAAATTGCCCAAGGAATAATGAAATTACCAGTAAAAAAAAAGTCGTCTGTGGTACGCGTTCGAATATGGACGAAGTGATTTCAGGTCGCCTAGAAAAGTCGAAGGTCCATTTTTTTTATTGGAATTTTTGGATATTATTAATCAAAATTTATTTAAATTAAATTTTTGCAATTTCTTTTTGCTAATTATTTTATTATTTCTTTATATTGTTTTATTTTTGTATTTTTCTATAAGAAATTTCATAATTTCATAAAAAAGGAGATGTTTTATATTAATACCCTTTAAGAATTTAAGGTAAAGTAGAGTGAGATGAAAGGAGGAAGATACGACCTGCTAGAATCTATGCTACTTTAAGATAATTAGGTGGCTTCTTCTAACAGTCTCACCATTACTGGTTAGAACTCCGCTGGCTACAAGGATAAGACATCTCCAAGCCGTTCGGTTTAATGCCATCGTTAGTAGTACTAGAATCCATTCCTATAGTGGCTTCTTTTATCATCCACAAAAATATTACCATTCTTCTTTTAAATAAATAAATATGAAACCTTTGAATGCATTTAGAATTTTATATCGCTTTAATTTCTTTTTCATTTGGAAAATATTATAGATGAAGATTTACTGATTATTTTAAATTTTCATTTGGCCAGGTTTATTATTCATTATAAAATATTATCTTGAAATATATATGGTGAAATTAATGATTTATAAATTTCAGCAGGCAGACAACAATGTTCCAACGTCACATTTCGATGTGCTACAAGATATTTTTTCCCATTCATTAATTTTTTACATATTTTTCTCCTTAATTTTATATTTAATTTTATATTTTTAATTTTAGATATGTTTGAATTATTATTTAGCATAAATATATTCTTTTAAATTACAATTAAAAATATTTTTTCTAATTTTTCGGTTGAAAAATATAAGTATATTCAAACTTGTCTAAAAATAGTCCTGAATCGCTACTCAAAAATTTTAGATGAAAATTTACTAATTGTTTTAGATTCTGTAGGAGGTTGTCAGACAATGGGTTCGAATATACAATCTCGGTAATTTATTAAATAATCTTTGATTATTTTTGAAATAAAATAATTCGTCATTTTTTAAAGGGTTTTTATTTTATTGTTTGGTTCTACTTTTAATTTCTCTAATTTAAATTTTATTCAATGTTCATTCCTGGAAAATTTTGATGTAAGTTTTGGCAAACAGGCAGATAGGCAGATTTAATCATATGTTTTATTTAAAAAGAAAAAATATAAATTTTTTACTAAACTTTTCTGAAAATTTGGTGTTTTCAACTTTATAAAATTTTATCCCATTGTTTAAAATTCTTTTTTATTTCAAAATCCTTGAAAAATTAATTGAAACTAATTAAAATCAAATAATTAATTTTAATTAATTTATTTAACTAGTTCATAGTTAATTTATATAGATTAATTTACAATTAATTTTTTAGCTTTGAGATTTTTAAAAGAAATAAAATATTTGTTTTTTTTAGTGGAAATGATGAGGAATTGATAGTTCCTATCGATGAAGAATTAAGTAAACGCATAATTGATCATGTTAAAAACAGCATCGGTGAATTTTCAAGGTGATTTTTCCATGTTTGAAAATTAATTTTTCTTAAAATAACTTTCTATTTATTAAGAAAAATGGATATAGATAATGGATATTTCAACGATTAAAAGAGGTTTATATAATTAAACTGAAAGTTTAATCGATCTTTTTCACGTTTTTTTTAAATTTTCTTTTTTGTATTTTAATGCTTTTCATGTTTGTTTGGTGACTGAAAATATTTTTTAGATTAAAAGAAATGTGTAAATCTTCTTCATTGCCTCTTATGCATACCAAATTAAGTAATATGGTTAGCCAAGAAAGACAAGCATCCTCAGCACAGAATATAAAACGAGATATTGAAGAGGATGGTAATACTCCGATTGATAAAGTAAGCCATATATCACTGTGAAGGATTTTGTTCCATAATTTGTTAATCATAATATTCTATAATAAAAAATCCAGCTAAAATGGTTCTTATTATGATTCTAAAAAATTATTCTATTATTCTTTTCTTATTCGTTATAAAATTATATCTGATAAAATTTTTTGTGAAACTTTTCAACTAGCCTAATAAATTCCTGTCTTCGGAATCTCTTTTATTTCTTGTTAATTTCTATAAAAAATTTGCAGAAAAGTTCAAAGAAAGTTAAACTAAAGAACGAGGGAAGTGCAGTAAATTCAACTAAAATTCATAAAAAAGAATGGAAGGTTAGTGATGTTCACATGAAATTTAAATGAAATTTTATATTTCATTCATCTTATTAATATTTTTTGTAAGTCGTAATTTTATATGCATGAATTTTTGAATATATTTTTGATTTGATTAATATCTCTATTCAGAACTATGAATGTTCAATGAATGATACAAAATTATATCAAAAATTTGCAACAAACTGTGAAGAAATGAAGAAATTTGGTTTCAGAAATTTTACCGTTAAATTAAATGCGTAAGTTTTCTTTTTAGTTTTTTGGAACATCTTGGATAGTTTCGCGAAATTTGTCGTAATTGTGAAATTATACTTTTTCGTTTTTCGTTTTATGAGCAGTTTTATTTCGTTTTATGCTTGGACGGATTAAAAAATTCAATACTTACTTCTCTAGGTTCATTTACAAAATTTCGCTATTGTTATGAATGGATAAGAAATTTTTTTCAATTTAAAGTATTTATTGTAAATGATCGGGAAATATTGAAATATTTAGGTTTGATATGAATGCTGTTAAAAGTTCTTCTTTTGGTCAGAAAAAAAATTCGAAAAAAAAACGGAACTCGAAAAAAATTGTGAAAACAAATCGTTCTTCCGCTGAATTTAAAGTGAAAAAAAGTAAAATCTATAACAAAATATCTGGTATATTTTGATTATTAAATTGAAAATAAAATCGGTCTTTTTCATGTTTTTTAAAGTTTTCATTTGTGTTTTAATGCTTTTCATGTTTGTTTGGTGATTGAAAATATACTTTTTAATTTCTTACTCAATTTTGTTTTGCCAAATTAAATTAGAATGTATAAAATTTTTTTTCGAAATAATATTTCAATGGTTTTTGACTATTTTTCTATTTTTTTAACTGTTTTGTGTTGCACCAAATTTTTCTCATTTCTGAAATCTTTTTAGCTACTTCATCATTATCGGACAATGATAAAGAAGATTTATCGAGGGTCAATAAGAATAATCAAAAGAAAAGAGTAGATAAACAAGAATGCTTACCTTTGGTTTATAACTGTACGGTTTGTCGAAAGGTGCTACAAGATTGTACAACTTCATGGTTGAATGTAAATTGTATTTAATTTTTATCATGCAGTGAACCATTTTTTTAATCTTGATTATTGATCAGTCTTGTTATGAGACAAGAATTTGAAGATTTGTTTTTTAGAGGTGGAATCAATTGTGATGGTAAATTCGAGATTGTTTTTTAAATTTTTTAAGTACCTCACTTTGTTCGAAATTTTTTTTTCAGGAATTAGGACCTCGGTCAGTTTATTGCTCTGTGCGCTGCATTGAAAAAGTGGTTTCCAGAGCATTTAAGGTGAACAGTTTTTGAACAAAATTATTATTATTCTTTTACACTTTTATTTGCAGTTTATGAAGGTGATCATGGATTTCCATTACATTAATAAATATGGAGACTATGGGACTTTTTTCATGTATTTCATATATTAACTTAAGTTTTTGTGGTTATTTTTTTATTGCATAAAGTTTTCTTGTATATCCGACTCACCTTTCTAACGTTTTAAAATATGAAATTTGGGTAGCATGAATTTCATATTGATCTATGCAGTTTTAAGGTTTTTTAAGGTTTCTTCCGATTCATCAACTCCTGTAATGGTAATTGATAGTTCTGGTACATTGCTAACTGGACCAGCTCAACCTAATCTCTCCAATCTTTTCGATTTTTTAAAAGCCTTTCCAGAATATACTGCGATTTTGCCTAATCAGCCAAGTCGATCGGTTTCGCAGAGTAAATTTTTACCGAAGTTCAATATTGTTCAAACATTAAGTAACTGAGAGAAATATGTTAAAAATGCGCTGGGAAAAATATAACGGATTTTATAAATTTACATATAACTTTCTAATTTTGTTCCACATCTAATATAAACCATTTCGCTTATAAATTCGCTCTCAGAAGAGATAAATAAATTTATATATATTTATATAATACATATATTTTAAATATTTTAAACATTGACAAGATGCAAAATGCGTTTTTAAGAGTCCAATAAACATGGAATAGCAAAAATTAGCGCAGATCGTGTTATATCAAGAGAAACAGATAAAGTACGATTACAAGTGAAAAACGCGATTCGTGACCAACTTTTATCGAGGTTCAATTTTTGTGCTCAACCTTTTTTCATCCTACAAATGGTGTTTGACTGCTTTTCAACTTCGAAATCATATATTAAATGTTAACTTCGCTCGGAAATATCAATGAAAGATTATTCAAAAAACTTTTAAATATTTATGCGATTTATTGAATTCATCAAAAAGAAATAAATATTATTAAGTATTATGCATAGAATCACTCGAGCACTGAAATAAATAAATTGCCTAAAAGTTATATAAGCGATTAACTCGATGTTTATGCGATTCAAATGATTATTTACAGAGTAAAAAAGCTAAAGAATTTTATTTATTCGGCTCATGAAATCAAAATAATTTCACAAAAAATTGAGGAGGCGCTGTTTGTTAAATACAATCAAAATATTTCTGCTAAATATCGCTCATGGTTCAAAAATTTTTTAATCAGTTTGAATGATGAAAAAAAGGTTTTTCTTTTATCGTTGCTTTTTTATTTGCTTTTTTTTTCTTCATAAAATAATTAATTTTAATTTACTACTGCTTTATTACTATTTTCCTATACTATATGTTGATTTTATAATAAACAAATTAAATAAAACTGTAATAATAATTATAAAAATTTGCTGAAAAATTGCTAATAATTTATTATTACAATTAATTTATTATTGTTATATTATTACAAATTACAAATTACTTAGAATAATTTAATTTATATTACAATTTTACGAAAGCTCTAAATTCTATTTGTATTTATTATAATTTTTTGCAATCGATGTTTTTTTTTTATTTTCAGGGTTTTTTCCTACGCATAATTTTGAATGACTTGTCGCCTCAGGCACTAGTAGCGTTGAAACCTAGCGAATTTGAATTATTATCTTTAAATAGTGAAATAACAATTCCTCATAAATATTTGAAAATATGTTCCCCTATTGCTAGTGGTTTGTCACAATCTACACAAAGTTCTGTACCGTCTGTCGATTCAAAAAAGTTGGTGGAAGATAATTCAGTCGAGTTTTCGAGTCATAAAATCATATCAAATGAAGAAGAGCCATCGATCGGTAAATTATAGATTTATACAAAATATTTTTATTATATTATTTTTTAATTTTCTATATCATCTTTTTTATTTTCGAAATTTTGAAATATTTGTAATCAAATTTATTTATTTTTGATAAAGAATATGAGCTAATCACAAAAGAAAGTGATCATTGTTGTACACAAAAAGAAAGCAATGTGTTTATGCAGGAAATATTATTTAATTTATTAATCTTTTTATTTATTTATTAAATTAATTTGTGCTAAAAAGTTAAATTATGAGGATTGTAAATTCCAGCTGATGATAAATCTAAAGAGCAGCCGAGACAGAAGACACCAATGGGATATTTGCGGGTATTTTTAAAGATATTTTCAAAACTTTGCATTAAATTTAAATCTAATTTAAATTTAAATCTTAAAGATATTTCTTTTAAAAAGATGCAATGAAACGATATATTTTTAAGAATTTTATTGTTAAGCATAGCTATACTATCTTTCACTTATGATTGGTTTTAATTTGGAATCAAAATCATTGTATAATTGATCAGATTGTTCTTCAACTTTGATAATGAAAAGAAATTTTTGTGATTTTTTTTGGAGGTAAATAGCGTGGTGGATGGTTTACTTCATTTCGATACAACTTCTGGCCACCATTCCCATATTTTTGATTTGAACTGTCGAATATGTATGAAAAAAAACAAATGTGAGCAGAAAACCATGCGAACCCCGTCTTCTGAAAAATTAGAGCAAGAAATTGAGGTTGTTGTTTGTTATTTTACACAATTTTTTTTTTTTTAATTTTTAATTTTTTAATTTTTTTAAATTTTTTGAAACTAATTGCTTTATTAATTATATCTTCTTGATTGTTCGCCATTTTCAGAAAAAAGAGATGGCTGAAACAGCTACTAAACAATATAGCGAAAAACTAATTAATGAGTTTAACGATATTGATGATTTTGGCGATAATTTTGAACTTGATGATGCTGTAGAATTAACAGGTATCCTCATAATTAATGGTGATTTCATTATTATTTCATTATAAGAGATTTCATTATTAGGTTGAGGTTCATTAATTTCATTTGGAATCTTCATTTTCAGTGTTTTTTTCAGACCTAAATGTGAATCTAAGCGATGAAGTTTCCTCCACTTTTGGTGAATCATGGAGAAACTATTCGAATTATACCGAAGACTTGAAAAGGGATGAATCATGGAGAAATTTATCAAATCATAATCAAGAATCGAGTAATGGCATGTTGAATATGGATTTACTATCTGATAAAATTTTATCTGAATCAAATGTAACTGTTGTTGATGAATCTTGGAGAAACTACAGTGTAAATGATCAAACTACAGATAGTGAAGATGCGCTTGTGATAGAAGAAGAAGAATCTGAAAAAAATCCGACTTGTTCTGCACTGACTGAGTTCGTTTTGTTTCAACCTCCTCTTAATCTACTAACTAAATTACGTATTTCAATTCTTTTTTTTTCTTCAGATTTCCTTCTCCATGGACAAAATTCATGATTTTTTATTTCAAAAATATATCATATGAAAATTTATGCATTTTCGATATTTAAAAGATATATTTATTTAAAAGAGTAAAATATGAATTAATGAATTCACATTTTCTATCTGTCGTAGTTAAGTCATAATATATAATGAATAATTGGTATTTTTTTCAGAGTTGAAAATGCTATTGAAAATGCTGTTGTTTGGACGGGTCATTTATTCATGAAAAATTATTTTTATTTTCCTGCATCTCTTACTTTTATAAGCGGTAATGTTATATTGGAATTAGCTCAAGAACTTCCTAGTGTTATTCATATAAATGGTAGAATTTCTCCACAGATTGTTTGGCGTTATTTACGCAAAATTAAGGGCAAGAATGAGAAAGAAGTAATTATCTTGAGGCTGCATGAAAGGGGTATTTTTCACAATCTTTTTTATTTTCTAATCTTTTTTCTAATCTAATTTTCTAATCTAATTTTGTTTTCTAATCTTTTGGAAAAATTTATTGGAATTTCGGTTTTTTTTCCTTGCATTCTCACAAAATAACAAAAATTTTTTAAATTTCAAACCAGTCCTTAAAATGTATATTTCACTAATTTTTCTCTCTTCATTTTTCATTCTTTAATATATATACTTTATTATCGCTCTCAATGGGTTACAAAAATTGTTTCTTTTAGATATTAAAGAGAGTCAAGAACAATTATCGAAGTGTTTTGATGATATTAAAAGAAAGGGACGGTATAGTGTTCTTCAACTCGATGAAAAAAATGCCATCACTGATGGATATTTGTTTGCTTTATCATGCAACGAAGATCCACCTGGTTTGTCCTAAATATTCATTAGAGAAATTGGCATTAAAATTACAATGGTAACAGTATGCTTATATTTTATTATATTTTTTTCAGACGATATTCTTCCTTTTATTGATTCGCAGTTGACTATCAATCATACTGATATGGTTATTTGTGTAATCATCCGATACAAAAATACGATTTTTAATACAAAAATGGTTAATTCAATTGCTAAGAATGATATATCGAAAAATGATGGTAGCCAGAATGAGAGAATGAAACTTCGGAGTTCGCCCAGAATAGTAGAAGTGCAAAGTACAAAGTATATCTTTATTTTATAGAATTTTAATTTAATTTTAATTTAAATTATAGAATTTTTTTAATCCATTTCAATCCACGCCATCAATTTTTTTCAATTTTTTCTTTTTTGCAAACAATGTCATGGAAATATTTTTATATTTTTATAGCGAAAATTTGAGTGCAGAATACATAAAATCTAAAGATGTTTACAAAAAATCCTCGAAACAATATAATGAAAAATACGTTTCAAATTTATCCGATTTATTGACAGCGGTTGCTACACTCTCTAATCCTTGTGAGTTATTTTATTTTAATTTTTTGCAAATTTTACCACTGATAATTGGTATTTATTAGGGCACATAGCGCATATTACATTTAAACTTTTAAACTTTGTTGTAAAATCTTGTTGTGGTGGTAAAATTTGAATGTCACTGTTGCTTAGATTGTTTTCATTGTAGAAATGTAAATGTTGCATCAGATCGTAATTTTTATATATTTCCTTTTTCAGCTGATATTGCTGATCTTATCTCTTATTTTACGCAGAGCCATGAGCTAGAACCTCAAGAACGCGATCTTATTAAAGAATATGTTGCAAAAAGGATTTTGGCGGAGCATAGAAGAGCAGAAACAATTATCGATCAGAATAAAACTTGGTATTTTTAAATACTTTTTTATTTTTTATTTTTTTAATTCTTTCAAATCACCTTTTTTTATTGATCCTTTGTTCTACTATTATTTTCAAAATATAAATTGCTTCTTTTTTTTGAAAATTTTGTTAATATGATTAAAATATTGCAGAAAAATATTCAATATTCAAGTTAAGATGTAAAGCAAAAAATTGATAGGAATGTACTGTTCATTTGAAAAAATTTTTTGTGGTACCTCTCTTTTCGAATTTCTCTTCGGCGAAAAGAAAGTCTAAATACCTTATCAATAAAACCAACAAAACCAGAAATGATGCGTGCTATTAGAAAAAAAAGCTCATATTTCTGTGATATTTCTATTCAGTAGAAAAATTCATTATCCCATTAGTGCTTTTATTTTAGTGTTTTCGATTCTGGAAAACTAGACGATGAATCTAACCGTCCTATTTCTTATCAATTTTCTAAAATGGATCATGCCAATGAACGAATGAATGGCGCTCCTAGTAGTAGTAGTAGTGGTTTTGATGAAAATTTCTTACAGGTTTTCCGCTTATTTTATTTTACCATTTATTACGTTTGTTTTCTTTTACTTATCATTATCTTTTATTCATTTATTTTTATATGTTGTTTTAAAACTTCCATTCTATAGAAAAAAGGAAATAAATTGAAAATTATGAAGTTGCTCATCCATTAGAAGAATTTGTTTAATAAATTTTTATCATTCTGCAGGACAGTATTGTGAAGAAACTAGTAGATCATAAGAAAAACTCAAATTTTTCTATATACTCGGAAGTATTAAGTTGTCCAAGTTTTCCACCAGTTGTATCTGAACTACCTTCGTCACCAGCTTGTCTTTCTTTGTCAAATGGTCAGTTCAAATGTGATGTTTCTTCACCACCTCCGGCACCCCCATTGCTTCCACTTAGCTCCAGTTCTTTACAATTGAATGAATCCATCTCATCATTAAATACTGTTGATGCAAATCAGAATGCTAGCGAAGCGAATATATGTATCAGAACGGGTGAAGATTTAGCTGTGACTGATATGGATATATCCGATGATGACGAAACTTTATCAGTGGAAAATAGCACAGTAAGTTGTTTTATAAATGAAAAAGTTAATAATCATAAATCATAGAAATAATCCTTCACGGCCGATCTCATTTCCAAGCCAATCCAATTTCTTCAATTCCAAAGTATTTAAAGTTCCACATGCATTTATTCTTGATTTTTTCGATGGTTTTTCAGTTAATATAAAAATTTAAATAAAAATTAACGTGTAAATAATTTCTTTTTCCCTACTTTCACACTTATATTATTGGTTTAATTTTTTCATTATATTACGTGATATATGGTTTCAGGATAATGCACTTCCATTGTTCCTACCACCTCCACCACCACCGCCAGTTGCATTATTCCCACCTTTATTTCCACCGTCAAAAGAGTCTTCAAGTTTCCCATCAACGTCGCCGGAAATTTTTTCACATTCTATTGCGAAAAGTTCTTTTTCGCATATTTCAACTCAGAGACCTCGTTTTCCATCACAGCAACCTTCCTCAACGGGCTCTTTCACTCAGTTCAGAGCACCTTATCCATTCCAATTGCCTAACCAACTGCAGTCGGTGCCAAGTCGACCATCTCATTGTTTTACGTTCAATTATCGACCACATGTACCCTAATGTCTATTTTAATTAGGTTCTGCTAATTAGGTTCTGCTAAAAGTTTTGAATGTTTTTTTTTATTTCGGATTAGATGTTTTTATAGAATTAGATTGAAAAAAATTCACCTTTGAATAATATGTTAATGTTTTGAAATTGATTTATAAATTTATTTATGATTTAAAATGTTTTTGCTAGAAATTTGATTGATTGGTGATTAGGTTGCGTCGTTCGTTTAATATATATATGCATTTATTTAACTTATTATTTTCTATTAACTTCATTATGTTTATCGGAGAAATTATCAGAATTTTAGATTTGAAATATTGTTAAAAAAAAGAAAAATTCCATAAAAATACTCAATTTTTTAAATCTATCTTTAATCAAATTTCGTCGAATATTTTTATTCCATTAAAACTCATCTTTCTTCAAAGACGGTTTAAGCATTTATAATTTAGGTTGAACGCTTCTAATTGGACGTTTAAAATTTATATTTTTATGGAATTTACAGCAATTAGGATCCCAGTTGAGTGGGATCTAATTTTTATTACAAATGTGCTATGAGAAATTTTTGAAATTATGCTCAAGAACCGAGATAGTACAATGTTATATCTGTTTTAAAGGTTAACATTGGTCAATTATCTTGGATAATTTTTGGCATATATTATTTTGGAATTTTGGAATTCAAAGGGATTTCATACGAAAAGCATTCTGAAGAGAATTTGAAATTCGTTTCTGTTGAAACTTCATTTTAAATTACGGAAAGTATTTTTTCTTTATTCCTAAAAATTTAATTTTATTGAATAAAAAAATTTTATAAATTTTTTTCTCCACAGAGATTACAAATTTTTTCCGATATCAAATTTTTAAATTATTCTTTTAATTTTTTAAAATTTATTTATTATTTTAAATATAATATCCTATTTATGATTATCGATTTACTTTTTGGGTTGAAATATATTTGTTTATTTATATTTATTTAGTGCCAAATATTAATCTAATATTACATATATATATATATTTAAATATGTAAATTTAAATATATATTTAAATTTACCAATTCAATTATTTAAATTTAATATTAATCTAATATTACATATATATATATTTATAATATATAATATTACATATATATATATATATAAATTTACCAATTCAATTATTTAAATCATTTAGTTTTTTAAAGGATATATTATATAATATTATTATAAAGGATATATTATATTTTATTATTTATTTTTTTGCACTTTTATATTTATTTTTTATTTTTCATTTTTTACTATTTTTTTGAGAATATTAACTCTATGAAAATTATTTTTATTTCATCGATTTTTGCAGATTAAATATAATTTTAATAAAAATTAATTAAAACTTCGATATTTTATACATCTATTTTACTAATTAGTTATTGGACGAACAGAATTATAAAAAGAATTCCATAAAAATTTATCATAAGCATTCTATATAAATGATTGTAAGTAAATAAGTAAAATAATTAGCATTCGCAATTTTTGATTAAATTTGGCTTCCTCTTAGCCAGCTTAAAAATATTCGTTAGGAAAACATCTGCGAGTATAGATTGGTAGACTCTTATATTTTAATGGTAGGTTTACTTTTATTTCAGGCATAGAAACTAAATCGCTGAAAATTTTCACATGATAACCTATTCTGTATCAAAATTTCGATTTACTTTATAGAACTGACTGATAAGAATTGTGTTAAACGGAAAATTGAATTCGGAATGGATGAATTAAACAAGGAAGAATACAATGAAAGTCGACAAAAATTAATAATATTATGGATTAATAAACTGATAAAAATAAGAAAACAAGTGATAAGTGATAAAATTTGGCTTAAATAAGGAAGGAAGGATGAATAAAAGATTATTGGTTAATTTTCGAAAAAAAAATTAAAAAAAAATAGGAAATAGGGAAAAATTATTGATGTGCGAAATTCAATTATTTTCATATCATAAATTATTTCTTCGAAAAATTTTTGAAGGTTTTAGAAACTTTTCGCAAAAAACTTTTCCACAAAATTTCATTAAAATTTTTATTATAGAAAAATGGCGTTTTTTTTTTCAAAAAGAAAAATTTTGAAAATATAAATAAATATTAGCCGATGTTAATTTCTATTGAATTATTTTGAATAATAAAAAAAAATCAGATTTTTTATGGCAGTGAATCGCTCGTTAGAAGTAAAAACCCGCTTGGTACTTAACATGTACGAATTATTTTTTTTTTCGATCCCTTAGTGATCCCTCTCTTGCGATTATCGCAATCACTAGAGCCGTTGTAATCAGAAATATTATTGTTTGTTGAAAACTATTAGGAGAGGATAAAGAATAGAATAGAAATAATATTAGAATAAACCACTACTGATTTGGCTCGCTGCACTGATGATGAGACGATGAGGGTTAGCGCGACAAGCCAGCCAGGCGAGTCTAACCAGTAATGATGAAGGTTGTCAAGAACAAAATAATAATTATGGAAAAAATAGATTGTGCCATGAAAGACGTTTCCAAGCCTCTGGAACCGATTCCAGTGTCCAGTCTTGAAAATAATTGAAACCAATCTTTTTTTCTTTAAGCCAATATACAGTCGTTGGATCGTTCATGTGGCCAGAATCTTCCTTGACCATATTTTGATTGCATTCTTCGCGCTTTTGGCATACGCCACAAGATTTAACAAGCTGTGAGATATGGGTCGATTTCTGTGGTGAACGACGAAGGCCTAAATCAGCGTCGATACTTTGTGACGATAATGCAAATGATATTGGGACTAAAGAATAACTGATAAGCGAAAAACTGTTAAAATTTTTTCGAGTTTTTATTCACGAATTGATGTTTTCTTTTTTTTTCTTTTCTTGCATATCAGAATAGAAACTTTTCACCATTTCTGATTCGATTGGTTCCACTGAGATCCTTTAGGGATAAGAATAAGGTGCCGAAGAAATTTCCAAGCCCCTCAATTCGATTTGAATTAAATGCATATATTAACTGATGCTTATTCAGAATTTGGATACTTCAAATTCGAGAAAATATATTTATAATACATATTTGATAGGCGAATTTCATGCAAAAATTTTTATTTGGATAAAAAAAAATTATCATAATTTTGAAAAGTGTTAATCATATGAGATCGTTTTAATCAAGAACCATTGAAGTGAATTTACAACAAATGAATTTAATTTAGTGATTTTGCTAAAAAATTTTTTAAAAATATCAATCATATTGGTAAATAAAAATTCGCCATGCAAAATTATCGCTGATAATGAAAAAATATTAAAAGTGGGAAATGAATAATTCGAGCCAAAAAAAAGAGAAATTTTTGAAAATCGAATCAAAATAAATTAATAATAATAAAATTAATAAATATATTAATAATAATAAATTAATTAATAAATTATTAATAATAATTAATAAACAAATTATTTTATTATTATTATTATTAAATTATTTTATTAATAAATATTATTAATAATTATTATTAATATTATTTAATATAATTTTATTAATTATTAATAAATATTATTAATAAAAGTTAATAAATAAGTAATAAAATGAAATTTTACTTTAATAAAATCTCATTTTTTCATAATTTTCTTTCTTGTTTTTCTTAATTTTATGGTTTATAGGAAAATCGGATGGTCGAGCTAATTAAACTCTCATAGTGAATTCATAGCATACAGTACTTCTCCTAAGCCTATACCTTGTCTTCTGTTCAATATCAAATCCATCTGGTGTTAAGTATCTTGAATGTAATTGTATCTTTAAGCGAGTTCGCTGACGAAGGCGCTTCATCTTCATCAGTTAAACCAAAAAATTATGGATGTTTTTAGAGGAGAAAAAGAATTTTCTCGGATCGTGTCCTGCAGCTATCTTGTACTTCACATTCGTTCTATCTCCAATTGATTTGCTGATAAAGAAAATTCTCATTTAAATCATCAAAACCAGCAAAAAACCTTTGAGTAATATTAGACGAAATTTATTGGATTCGTAATCAAATCCGTTTTATTTCTCATTTTTGCGTACTCATCGAAAATTCGACTAAATAATTTGTGAATTGTTTTTATTATTTTATTATTAATGAAATAATTTTAACAATTCTAACAATAGAATTTCTTTTTTTATATAAATGAAAAAGCGATTTTTTTCGAGTGAATTTTTTGTAAAATTCAAAATTCGCTTTTTTTTTTTAAATAAATTAATAATTTTCAGTTTTATTCACGAAACGTTTCATATCAAATAAGGGGAACAAAAAAAAAAAACGAAAATAGAAAGATTAATTACGAATCGTTACTGCTACTATAAAGCGTTACATTTTATTTCATTTCGAACATTTTAATTTATTTATTTATTTTCTTCTTTAAGTATATAAAAAAAAAGCTATAAAAAAAAAGCTATAAAAAAAAGAAAGCTTAAAAATATACATAAAAATATTTTCATTTATTCAATCAAATCGATAAATACGCTCAATTTAAATTAATTAAAATAATTATAGTAAGTATCCATGAAAATAATTTTTACCTTAATTTAATAAATAAATTTATATAAATAAATTAATAAATAAATTTATTATAAATTAATAAAATATGAAAAAAATAAGTGAATTGTTACTATTGCTGTAAAAAAAAAAAAATGAAAGCAAATTATAGGAAATTTAAATAATAAATTTATAAATTTAAAAAAAAATTAATAAATGAAATAGTAAAATTAATAATAAATAATAAAAAGAAATTAAAATTAATTAAAATTAAAAAAAATTAAAGTAAATTTCAAAACTTATTTTTAAAAAATCACGCAAAATTTGATTTTTAGAATTCTTTTTTTTTTCATTGCTTTCTTATGGTGAATTTTTTTATTTTTTGCGTATTTTCTATAAATTATCCCATTTATATGGACGACGATTTCCTTCAATCATCGCCGATATCCATGAATCGTTCAATTTGAATAAAATATATTCAACTTCTGTTATTCGTTCATTTAGGCTACAATTATAATTTATTAATCTATTAAATTA